CAACAACATCATATGATTCACAAACGGCTTTATGAAGCTAACTTTCCAATCCCACATTTTTCTTAGGCCTTTTGCTTCTCGTTTCCACAGCACATCTTCCTCCCATAAAAAATTTATGTCCAGGTAGATTAATTCAGGAGCAATCCAATGATATTTATAAATAGTCTTCAGTAGTAAGGAGAGATCAGTCGACCTATACTGATCCTTTCACCTTTTGGTAGTGTAGAGATCTAACCTCGCTTTGAATGTGATAACAGAAGGTGCTGATATTAGATGTTCTAGTATGGAATTTTAGTATTTCACTACCCGGTGAAAGAAACAAGACTCTAGACGTAAGCGATTTGTTTAGATTTCTTAGAATGTTCCCTCGAATGATTAGTCCTACATGGAAAGAAAAGATAAGACATTGGTACTAAGATCATCGTCTAATGTACCATAAGTCGGTATCAGATAACCCTGTATTTTGCGGTAAGGTTACGGAAATAGGTTTATGTGTCTCGATTTGTTTTCATAAGGCAGGTCAGAGAGTTTATTTTATCATTCTCTCTTCTCACTGATGAACACGTTCTAGCATATCCGGCTCATAATTGACACAGGAACTCAACCGCACATTCCAAATGTATCCTGACAAAAGTTGAATGTGATTTCATAGACATTTTTTCATTGAATTAGTGAAACAACATACAAATGGCCCGTAAGTCCCAGAAGCATTTGACAGTGGCAACCATGCAGTTACTTGTAGTTTTTAGGTCACTGCTGATTATGACTCCTGGGTCTTTATGGTCTATTACTTTATGTTACACAATTCCATATATTTTGTGGTGATATGAATCATCACAGTCATTTACTTACATTATTAAACTCTTGCTAGAACTAACTTCTGATGACTACTTATATATTCATTTAACCGATGAATTTAGGTCATCCTGTATTGTAATTCTGTCTGACACTGTGTACGGGTTTGCAGTTCTTTATATCATCTTCAAAGAGTAGAACATCTTAGTTTGCTACAGCTGTTAATTGATTTACATAGCATAAAAAAGAAGGCGACCGAGGACCGTACCTTGAAGAACTCCATTTTTCATAGATTCCAACGTTGGTAGAGCTCGACTCTCCAGTACCTGCTGTCTCTTGTCATTGAGAAAGTTACTCATATGGTTTATAATTTCATAATAAATCCCGAAACGTTCCGGCTTTAACTTAAGGACCAGTCGAGATATTTTGTCGAAGGCTTGCTTTGACCTATGAACATTAAACCCACTGAAATATTTCTGTTTTTCGCTGCATCTCAATCTTCCGTTGTAATTAACAAATTTATCAAGCACGATAGGCCTTTCATAATATCATGTTGTTCGATGGATAGAAAGTTATACTCGTCAGCATAGTTTAGAATAACCATACGAATAATCTTTTCCATCGATTTGACAACTACATTGGATAGACTAACGGGCTGACAGTTACTGATTAAGTTTCTACTCTCCAATCCATAAAGCTGGTTGGTAATTACGTCTTTCCAGTCTCTTGGCAAATAAGACTGCAGAAAAGATGTATCAATGGCGTTGGGACGAGTTCAAAAACCGCATTCACCAAGGATTCCGTAATGTCGTCAGGACTACTAGACTTATCTAGTTTGAGATGCTCAAGTAATCGCCATAGAAGTTCTTTCTTAATATCCAGAAATTACATCGACAACCCGCCATTATAATTGACTGTTAGCCCTTCACCATCGTGGGTAAAAAATGCCTCACTAAAACAGTCTGACAAAACTTCAGTTTTCTTGACAATATCAACGGATTTTCTTGCAATAAATGTAGTGGGGTTGCTTCGCTTTTCCGAGTTTGCCCCTTTGTATGTGAGAACAACGTTTTCGGATTATCTTCACAATCCTTAACCACTTGTTTTTGTGTAAATATTTAGCCTTAATTATCCACGTTTTGCGAGCGTTCCTAGTCTTACAGTAAAACGATCTGTACTGTTTTGAGCCTGTGGAAACAAACATACCTCAGTACTTCATTCGGTGTCTAAAACGTTTCTTGGCCTGTTTCATTATCCGTGGTGGGCAGTTATTTGGCCTACGTGATACTAAGCACGGTATAAATTGGGATGTTACTAAGCTGGGTATACTTTTAACTATGAGCCATGCTTCTCCGATTGCTGAGCCATCATTGATTGAACGGTCATTTGTTACAGTGTACTCCTCTATAACCGGTATTTTTGCTCTCCACACATTTGGGTGACGCATAACCTGATCGTATATTATATCACAAGCTCTAAGCATGAAACATGAAAAGAACCATGATTGCTAATTACTATCGGCTGAAGGACATTTAGATAGTCAATATTCCCGGTCACATGAACGATTACAAAGTCTAACAACAAAAATCTTTGGTTAGAATCAAAACGTGCTGGTTCGAGTGCAAACTATACTGAACCATGCTCGATTAACGTCACCGGGGAGCCTACTATCGAAAGGAAGTTTATATACGGCGGTGGCCATCCATTTCCGACTAATGTCGATTGCATTGAAGTCTTTTAATGTCAGGCATCTGTTATTTCTACTATCCTTTTCACTTAATTGAGACTTTCATAGCATCACTCCAAACTATGACTGAGCAAACATTTATTCTAGCGTCATGTGTTACGTCAGTAATAAGTTAGCTTTTCATAATTATTTTATATTTTATTTTTGTTACTAATTTGACGATACATAAACAGTCGTTTATTCTTGTTCTGTGTTCATATACACGCTAATTAAACTATTTGCGGATTTCACGTCTCCTTTATTTCTATTCCTTTATTTTCTCCCTTTCCTTCTTTAAACTCAATTCAATATTCTTCGCAATAACACAGAACCAGATTAATTATTATTATTCTATTATTATTATTGTCTTTTTCAAATATGGTAAATATAATGCTAACATTATTGAAACTTGTGTATTATTGCATTTTTGAAGAAACCCGAAACGGTTTCTTCACAACACTTATGTAACGGCAAATACAACATTGACACATCATTTGCCAACAGAACTCATGCTTGAGGGCTCATCGCCTTCTAGATCGGTGATGTTTTACCCGAACGGTAAAACATTCAGAGCCAACAGGAGTTATGCTCCGAGCATCTTTTGTACGTAGTGTGGTTTAAAATGGTACACACATTGTGGAAACAGGTTCTATACTTATCATATTGGTTTTTTCTCTCCACAGGGAAGAAAAAATTTGACTGCCCACATTTATAAGTAAAGCCGACCATTGTAAACATTTAAAACGGTATAAGGTCGACAAGAATACACTGTATAATCACCAGTATGACAACCAACTAAAAAAGAGTACCACAAAACAAATTTTGAGGAAACTTTAAAACTTTAAACTAAATAATTAAAGTTGAAGTACACAATTTACGTTTTCGACGCAATAAATGTACAAAGGCAAGATCAATTCATAACAAGTATGAAATCACTCCAGCAAGGAGTAACTCACTCAGTCGGCTAAAATAAATCCCATGATGAGATGTGTGTATATCCTCTGCTTTATTAAATTTCAACTAACTGCAACTTTCCAGTTAAAAGTCTTGGTATAACCAGTCAATTAATAATTTCAGAACAAACGTTGTGTCCATCTTACCGCATTTTGAAAATGTGGAGATTTGTTGCTCAGGTGGATGATTTTGATGGAGTTTGTTCTCTGAACAGGCTGGTTTGGTCGTGGAGCTTTCATCGCCCTTCTGAACGATATCATCAGCACAAACTTCAGGTGGACTTTAACTGTTCAAATTTCTCCACATATGTCTCACATCTAATTCTGTAGGCCTCGACGTTGATTAGTTCTTGTTGACCTTAAACCGGTCATTTTTTACTGCTTTGTTTTGGTCGTATCTTCGATTGATTTGATTGTCAATTCCATGTTCGTTCATAATTTTTCTGAATAGTTGATAAATTGGACCGATTTCAATGTGCTTGTTGGTTGACCTGGGTGCCCAGGTTCTAAAAATCCTCTGGTATTTTTAGAATCGCCTTTATCCAAGATCTTCACATTTTTCCAGTCGAGTGTGTGTCTGCGGACATTTCGCTTCTACCCGACGTTTGTGCTGATGATGTCGTTCAGAAGAACGATTAAAGCTCCACGACCAGCCCAGCCAGCCCAGAGAACAAAATGGGAACACAGGTTTAGTAATTAAACAGGCACGTCGAATTGAACAGCCATCTCGGAACACAAAACTCGATGTAAAATTAAAACTGGGTGCAAGTTACTTTTCCTCCCTCACCTTGTGACCTGCAGCAAATTAAATGGAACGTAATCACAAATCAATTTTCAAAAAACCAAGATGTAAACTGTGGTTGACCGTATACTATATACTATATAGGCCGGGTTTAAGCGATTGTAATGATATTGAATATGTGACAGAGAATCGTCTTTGGTGTCTTCCATTAGGCACGCAGATTCTGCTAACACTGAATATTACGTAAGACCTGCTCATTCTCTGTGTAGCTTAGTAACTATCCCTTGCCAGTTGGCTTTCTGTTTTTAATCATGCTACTTGCATCGGTAACTCTGAAACTCAATTTTCGCATGTCGATAGCACGAGTCTTCAGCTAATTTTTAACAAATTTATTCATTATTTGTAACAAAACAGATACAGAATTTCCTCTCTCGATTAAAAAAACTTACTCTTTGTTATACGTCCAAAACTTACAGAGGATCTATAAATATGCTAAAGCCATGCCTTAAATAATGAAAGAGACCCATATAAAACGTCCTTATGGATCGCATAATTGTCGGGACCAGTTGATATATTCTAAAGTTTTCAGTGAATCCGGTTCTAACGCCAGCATTAGAGATAAATATCTATTGGTTTGAATGTTGTTAAAAAAGGTGGATTAAAGTATAATTTGTGGCACGTAATATTGCTTACTTTTTTGAAGCAAGTATACCTGGATGTGTTTTGAAGGATCTTCTAAATATCTTTAGTAAGGTACTGAATATCCATGATAGTGTTGAATATTGAACAAACTGTGTCCTTGAGTGGGCCGCCTCCGCCAAATTAGGTTTTTTCGCCATGTCGGGTAGGACTGCCCTGTTCGGAAGGCCTCAGCAATCTCAAACACGACATTTATTGCAATTCAAAGCAGGGAAAATGACGATTGGTGACGATAACTGGGTTCATGCTGACCCTCGCAAGGGATGGGTGTATGTTTATCAGTCCGGGGACGGAAAGTTACACTTCTGTTGGATCGATCGCAAGACGTTTCTTGTTGAAGATGTAGGTGTACTTCCATTCGCATAAATTATTAAGTTAGAATTTCGTCATTAATGCCAAACAGGCTGAGTTTCAAAAGATTCCACAATGTACAACGGGTAGAGTTTATCTTCTTAAGTTCAAAGGTCCCAAACATTTTTTCATCTGGATGCAAGTAAGTTTTATTCTCCAAACCACTTTCAAAGGAACCCAACGGAAAAAATGATAGTGACATTTGTTCAAGAATAAACGACTACATTAGGTCTCCACCCGCACAAACTACAACACTCTCAAGTAAATTTTCTGGACCTCAATACATTTTTAGGTGACTGGCTTAGTCGTTTTGAAAGTCTTAACCAACTTTCTCACAGCGATATTCTGGCTTTGTTGTGTAAGTTGTAATTATTCTTTCAGATCTGTCAATCTTAGCGATGGGGGTAGGGCTTGGAGGTGGATTAACTTCGGAATCTGATATGTAAGTTTGACTAGATTTAGCATAACAACTCATTTTTGTCTCTAGTAGTTTTAATATAGTGTGGATACTCCGCTGAAATTCTTTGGGTATATCCTACTAGATAAGTAGAATAATCTGTGAGTACATGGTTAAGCTTTCCGAAGTTTTAAGACAAAGCCTGTCTGATCGCATCACGACCTTAAATTGACTCTACTTGTTTAACACATGCGTCCCATAGATGTCTGCAATCTCTAGGTAGTGAAGGGATTCACTTTCCGAAGATTGCGTGACTTGCTTAAAAGATCTAGTTTCATGACAAGTATATTCCCATCACATAAAGTCTAAAACTAAGCTTCTGGACAAAAGTGGCGTTGCGAAGCAACAGCCCAGTCACTTTGATTACAGTATAACGTATACCGATTGCAGATGTTTAATTTCATCTTTGATCCACGATTTACATATATCATAGTATTACCCAGTGGCGTAAACTGAAGCCGAAGCTGTATGCCTTCACCACATGAGAAGTTAGTTGATATATGCAGAGAGGAAACTGTCTTTTGTACCAAATAAGTTCTGTGTTCGTCAACTTTGATATATTACAGCAGTCTCAATCACCTGTACTAATTGTCTGTCGTAGCTAAATCATTACCGGATTGAAACTAAGATAGTTGACTTACACTAACACTATGCTAACTGACAATTCAAAGTATTACTTAGTCGGTTTTCTTGGCTTTTTAAGTGTATACTCAACACTTCATATTGTTTAGTTCCTGCTACCCAATTAAACTACGTATTTTTTAAAATTCGTTTGCAGATCATCTGCTCAAGCAAATGCTGTGACAATCGGGCGTCATTTAAATACGGGACACCTAGATGAATCTAATGTATCTACATCTGTCATTGGGACTACTGCCACACCATCTTCAGGAACTTCATCCACTGGCGGTAACTCTCTACGCCCATCTGTGAGTTACGTAAAATCGTTTTAATTTACTTACACTACAGTAGATCCTAGTTAAACCTTATATGTTGTTGGCGTTTCGGGATTCTTCCGTAGTCATACTACGGGGGATTATTTGATGTGTAAGCTTTGCGCCTACATTTTATGAACGTTCTCCTCGGTACAAGTTAACTAGTCTGAATGAGCTGTTTAGTATTCTAAGTGTTCAAATTTAATGATCATGTACGCTCAGCCTGAACTTTTCGTTACAGTTTGATATCCTAACCAAACCTCGCACTTTTAATGGTGTTTTCCTAAATCCTCAAACACAGTCTAGAAAACACTCCAACTGACCTTGAGCAGTTACTATCTCCAAGCAACATGAATGGAAAATTGATGTAAGTTCTTTGACTCTTAATGAGGTTGAAAAGTATATTAGCAACCTAAAGCGATAGGGAGCAGAAGGGCCTGGTGGATTAACTCCTGATATTTTTGAGGGTGGTGGTCCAGTTTTAGCAGTTAGATTAGCTGAGATCCTAGCTAAAATCTAAAAATTGGACATTATTCCATCTGATTAGTCTCGATCGCTGATCGTCCATGTCTATAGGAAAGAATAAAAATCCTCTGGTGATAATCACGGAGGAATCAGTTTAACTAATCTAGTGTCTAAAATATTGGTCTCAATAATACTTTGACGTCTATCTAAAGCTCGCGAAAAGCAAACCCGAGGAAAATAGTCTGATTTCAAATGTGGACGTAAATGTAAAGACCAAATATTCCTTGACCTTAAGGTGTGGTTCGACTCTGTTGATCGTGATATTCTATGGCACTTTCGAGGAAAGGTGTCCTAAAGAAGTACATTAACATTGTACGTCCTCTCTAATCGAATACTACTGATCGAGTCAGAGCTTATGGTGAACTGTCACAAGTGGTTATCTCAAGTGGTGTTCATCAGGGTTTTCTGCTTTCCCCGTTAGCTTTTTATCAGTCCATTATGCCATCCAGTATTATGAAGTATAAACACCTAGAGTTTCGTACCAAGTTATTAGTAAATTACCGTAGATCTATAGTCCTTTTGTGTTCTGATTTACTACACATCCAATTAAGTTAGTTAATGTATTTCAGACGAGGAAAACAAAACATTTAAGTCATTTAATAAAAAAAATTGTAAATGGGTACTAGACTTGTCGATAAAAGTATAGGTAATATACTACATCTCAAAGCTAATTGTTAAAACAATACAGTAACACCTAGAAGTGATGTAAATATAATACTGTTCATCGGCAAATAGTCTGTTCACTAGTTTAGAGGTCATGAGTATTCTTGTTTGTTTTTTTCAAGGGATTCTGAGTTAACATACAAACGTTTTTGATAGTCACAACTGATGTTACTTTCTCATAACAGATGTTTTCTCCATTCTTTCTTAAAGACAACCGATAAACGACTTGAAGCTGGGAAAATACAACTTCAGGACTTGAGAAATATCCTCTCATCAATCTCTACTGGAATACGGAGTTCACGTATGTAATGGTTTAATTTTATAGACGAAAAACTTGACCAAACTTTTATACTACAGAAATTTAGTTAACAAAAAAGAACTGTTACATAACTCACACATTCACCAAAAGTAAATATCAAAATCGTATATACGCTGTTTTAACTACTCCGAACTCACTGATTATGATTTTTTGTTAAATCATCCTTGACCTCATAAGACGTATCGTAAAACCGGATGATGAAATCAGCCATTCAAATTATTTCGTCAACAAGCGTTGACTGCATGAAGATGGTAAATTTCCAAAGCTGAGTGAAATTGTGAACCCTATAAAAATAATGTAGGTGCACATTAATCGGTTGGGGTCTTCGTGAATATCTCTATCAACGGTTACAGACTCAGAGTAACATTGCTCATAATCCATCTCAGGTTCATTGTTCAGGTGAATTCTCGTTTCATATCCCCTTAAATTTAGGTTTTAAAAGCGTATTTTGCTTTTTATTTCACGAATACTTTCTCCCTTCCTGAATTTTTTTATGTGCAATGCTTTCTACTAGCACTAATATTGTTACTACTCCCAATATTTTGGAATTCGTCTTGATTTCATTTCTCTGTGGATATATGGTATAGCAAATTAAGCTGATGCACACATATGCCAGATTTCTCTGTTGCTTATGACTGACAGCTTATTTGATCATGTCTTATTTTGACCAAAATAATACAATAATTATTGACTTATAATTGCAGAGATTGTTAACAGCTATTGGAACCAATTATTTACTTGAATATTACTCAGTTTCATATATTGTGAATTTTTACAATAGTAAATCTATTTGTAGATTTATTATCATTTACTAATATGGTTAGTATTTTTGAATGGGAAATAATGTATATTACATTGTGGTTACGTCTGCTGTTCCTAATTAACTGAGAGCCCTACGAAATAGTATGTTTATTCAAGTTACCATTTTACATCGGTTCAGAAAGATGAAACTAACAAGAGGAATACCGAAGGAGTTGACACGATAACGTAATTAATGATAGTGTAAACATTTACGTATTGAAGATTGTGGTATTGTATAAAAATACTGGAACTCAATATCTAGGGAAAAAAAGAAGACTAAATGCATTCGCTCTAGTGCGACCGGTTCTAACTTGTTTTACCCAACGTTTGCTACCACTGATCTTGTTTATCGTGCAGACTCCAGTCATGTGGTCTGAACGTGTCAACAGGTCTCAATCCATGTCAGTGATGTTATAAACTGATGCTATGTTTCAGCCTGATCACCCTAGATTTCATCCTGTTCAACGAGTCAAAAGGAGCCCTATTATCAAGAAACAACGATCGTCGACCTGTAATAAGCGTGACAATTGAAGATTTGATCAATACATCCATAATGTAATCGAAAACTATTCTGCTCCTCACAAATACTCACAGGTTCTGTACAATCTGTGGGGTATAACTGTTGCCAGTAACTTTAAAGCAATGAAGAGCATACTGACGCTCCAGTAACTGTTGCATAAGTCAAGAAGGCTTTTTTCAAAGATAGGAATGGTGATCTCTTTATTATAAAATGATCATATTCCTGTGTGCAAAGTCTTTCCAGTTAACATAGTAAGTTCCTTGACCAGTGATTCGTCATTATCGTTATAAAGGGCCACAGACAGGCTGTTTGGATCTGGTGACTTGAAATGCTTCAAAAGTTCCTCCCGTATCTTCGACTGAACAACATTACCCTTCAATTCCGTAATCTCTGAATAAGAGTTAGAAAGGAATAAAAAATAGTAGTGGATAAGTTAAAATGGTGCGACTGGTATTGATTTTTTTTACAATGCATTGATAATGAATTCCAATTAAATTAAAACACTGGGAGACCAATCTTTCTGATGATTTTTCACCGTAGTTTGGTTTAATTTTATCGCAGGATCTATCTTGACTAGTTATGTGGTATTTGGCTTGGAGTGTTATGCATTACGAATCTGTTTGCTGTTGTTAGTCTCTAACTGTACACATGTTAAATTAACTACGAGTAAGATTTTATTGCACTTAGCCAGTGCTTCTGCTTCTGGTTTTGGAAACTTTTAAACAGTAAACTATTAGTGCCCATGAAATGAATTCATACATGGTTGTTTTAATTGGTTTTCTTATTATTATTTTACATTACTTACACAGTTATACTGTTTAATCGTTGATAATGTTTTTATTCTCTATAGCAAATGATGCAAAGGTAGAATTAAACGATGTCTTAAACGTAGATAACTTACACTCACTTTTGAATAAGCCGGATATTCAAGAAAGATTGTTGCCTCATCTTCCTCCTCTGGATCCTGAATCAGCGAGTACAAATGACTTGGAAAATATCACTGCAAACATTCAGTCATCTCAGTTCAAAACCACTTTGAAAGTAAGGGTTAGATATGTTTTAGTTTCAAAAATAATTTTGTCAGTTAACAGTTCAGTTGACGAGACACTTCTTTCATAGCTTAATATTCCTAAACATTCTAATTTAAATTATTCTTATTATTCTAATTCCTAAGAAGTATCAAATTGATCTCATCATTTTAAATTAAATTGGAAGGTATATTTTTGTTCAGTGGATATTCAGACACATTCTGTCTCTATTTTTCCTACTTATTTCCTTTTAGGCATTTGTTGGAACACTAGTTTGAATGCGAAGTTAAAAATATTTTATTAACTGTTGATCCATTGACAGAGTCTGCTTATATTTTTCGACCAACTTTTAAATGATCCTTAAAAAGTGTAGATAAATATCTCTGTTTCCATTGTTCTATATTTCTTAAAATCGTAGTGATGATATGTTCCTGTAGCGCTTAAAAAATAATCCATAGTTAATTGACGAACTGTCTAGTGTACCGAATGTGCTCACTTCCATATATAATGGTTTAGTGCCACTATGTAGACTAATCTGATTGAGGTAATAAACTTTCAGGGATTATCGCTCTCCTTCACATCATAAATTCTAGCTCAAAACCAAATACATCAGTCTTTATAGCTTAAGTATTGTCCCCTCATTTTTATCCTACTATTTCATTCGAATTGAACTTGATTTTTTATGCATTTCAACCCCCTTAACTTCTCATCTTATTAACTTCGTGTTATACTGATATGAAGTGAACAATTAGAACCTGTATATTTCTTTAGGTTCTACTTAATATCAAAATACGCCCTAGAAACTTGCTTAGGCTGAAGGTTATTATCGTATTCTAAACTTGAGACAACTAACTGATCCTGCTTTAACTGTTTCTGAATGGGGATCGACCAGTGTTTGAGATAGTTAACCCAAATATTCACTAAAATATCTGTATTGGATGTCCACTTGTTGAGTTTAGTCAATCATTTGGTTTCTCTATAGGATACTATCCATAGATTATTAGTTCAGCGTAAAGATACTCAAACTGATTACCTTGATTTTTACACAATCTAATACAGATTTGAGAGCTACACTGATTTCAAATATCACCGTAAAATTTCATGAGATTTCACGTCTATTTGCACAATACACAATCTATATTTGTTCTTTTCGCTTATAACGCGAACTGTCTTGAAACTGGGGTTAAAAGTTTAAAGTATCTACACCTTTATTTCATATATTACTTAATTTACGATAGATCCAGTTATATTTTTACTGCATATATCACTGTTCACTTTTGTTAAGATTTCACTCTTTTTACTCGTTTTTGTTACTTAACTAGCTTCCTCACTGTATTCGTCTTTTGTAGTCCTTCTCAGCTGCTTTTCGAACAGGTGAACTTGCCCCTGTTTTGGCTCAATTCAATTTGGGTATAAAAGCCGATGAAGCTGCAAGACGAGGTGGTAAGCCTGTCAAATGTTTTTCTCGCCTGAACAAATGGTCTATACCAATATGATTTTCCTGTATGTATCGTTTTATACATAAGCAGCCCTACTTACTTCTGTCCATCTCTTTGTAATTAGTTGGGTATAATGTCAGTTCAGTAAACTATTACTTACTTACTTACGCCTGTTACTCCTAATGGAGCATAGGCCATCGACCAGCATTCTCCAACCCATTCTATCCTGGGCCTTCCTTTCCAATTTCATAAAATTCTTGTTCATTTTTCTCTTGTTTATCTCCATTTCCCGGCGTAACGTGTTCTTTAGTCTTCCTCTCCTCCTTTGGCCTTCAGGATTCTATGTGAGGGCTTGTCTTGTGACGCAGTTGGGTGCTTTCCTCAATGTGTGTTCTATCCACTTCCAGCGCTTCTTCCTAATTTCTTCCTCCGCTGGGACCTGGTTTATTCTTTCCCACAGTTGGTTGTTACTAATAGTGTCTGACCAACGGATCCGAAGTATTTTGCGTAGACAACTGTTAATAATAATAGTAATAAACACCTGTATCTTCTGGATGATGGCTTTCGTAGTTCTCCAGGTTTCCGCCCCATACAGTAGAACTATCTTGACATTTGTATTGAAAATCCTGACCTTGGTGTTGATTGACAGTTGCTTTGAGCTCCAGATGTTCCTCAGTTGTAAATATGCTGCTCTTGCTTTGCCGATCCGCGCCTTCACATCTGCATCAGATCCACCCTGTTCATCAATGATGCTGCCCAAATACGTAAAGGTTTTTACATCTTTCAAATCTCCTCCGTCAATTGTGATTCGATTGTTGCATGCTGTGTTGTATCGGAGATTCTTGCTTTTCCCTTTGTGTATATTGAGACCTACTGCTGCTGAGGCTGCTGCTACACTGGTCGTCTTCTCCTGCATTTGTTGTTGCGGTTGGGATAGAAGGGCCAGATCATCTGCGAAATCTAGTTCGTCCAACTGCATCCTAGATGTCCATTGTATCCCGTGCTTCCCTTCAGACGTTGACGTCTTCATGATCCAGTCGATTACCAGGAGAAAGAAAGGGTGAGAGTAAGCAACCTCACCTGACACCGGTTTTTACCTCGAACGACTTTGTCAACTGTCCTCCATGCACGATTTTGCAGTGTAATCCATCATATGAGTTCTGTATGATATTGACTATTTTCTGAGGCACGCCGTGGTGTCGAAGATGCTTCCATAGTGTTGTCCTGTTCACGCTATCAAATGCTTTTTCGTAGTCAATGAAGTTGATGTAGAGTGATGAATTCCATTCAATTGATTGTTCCACAATGAGCCGTAGAGTTGCGATTTGGTCTGTACACGATCTATCCTTACGGAATCCTGCATGTTGATCACGAAGTTGGGCGTATACGCAGTCCTTCATCCTGTTTAACAATACCCTGTTGGAGACATTTCCCGGTATTAAGAGAAGAGTGATGCCCCTGTAGTTATCACAGTTGCTGAGATCGCCTTTCGGTATTTTGATCAGAAGTCCTTCTTTCCAGTCTTTTGGTACTTGTTCTTCATCCCAAATCTTATTGAAGAGAATGTGGAGTATCCTTGCAGTTACTGCTACGTCTGCTTTTAGTGCCTCTGCTGGAATGTTGTCTGGTCCTGCTGCTTTGCCACTCTTGATTTGTCTGATGGCCATGCTGATTTCTTCAGTTGTTGGTGGGCCGAGATTGATTGGGAAGTCCGTGGGTGCTGCTTCGATGTTGGGTGGGTTCAGTGGCGCTGGTCGATTCAAGAGTTCTTTGAAGTGTTCTATCCACCTGTTTTGTTGCTCTTCAATGTTGGTGATTACCTTGCCTTCCTTGCTTTTCACTAGTCGTTTTGGTTTACGGCGATTTCCAGAGAGTTCTTTGTCGTGTCATACAGTTGTTTCATGTTTCCTTCTCTTGCAGCCTTTTCCGCCGTCGTTGCTAAATCTTCTACATATTTACGTTTGTCGGTTCTGGTGCTCCTCTTCACTTGTTTGTTTACTTCTGTGTATTCAGCTTGTGCCTTGGCTTTCCCTGCTCTTGTTCGGCTGGTATTGATTGCTGCCTTCTTGTTCCTCCTTTCTTGAATTTTATCCAGTGTATCAACAGTGATCCATTCCTTGTGATGGTGCTTCTTGTGGCTCAGAACCTCATGGCATGTTGAAGTGATTGCTTCTTTGATCCCCTTCCAGTTGCTCTCCATAGTAGTTCCTCCGTTGAGTAGATCATGAAAGGCCTGGAACTTATTGCTGAGGACTATCTTGAATTCGTTGAGTTTGTCAGTATCCCGAAGAAAGGCCGTATTGAACTTATATGATATTGTCCGCCCCGTTGTCCAGTACTTTTTGAGTTTTAATTTCATCTTGGCGACCAGCAAGTGATGATCTGATGCTATATCAGCTCCTCTCTTGGTTCTCACGTCTTCCATCGTCCTCCTGAACTTTTTGTTGATGCAGATATGGTCGATTTGATTTTGTGTAGTGTGATCCGGTGAAGTCCATGTGCTTTTGTGAATGCGTTTATGTGGGAATATGGTACCGCCTATGACCAGTTTATTGAAGGCACATAAGTTTGCAAATCTCTCACCATTTTCGTTCCTTTCTCGCAGTCCGTGTCGTCCCATGATGTCTTCATATCCAGTGTTGTCTATTCCAACCTTGGCATTGAAATCTCCCATCAGAATGGTCAGGTCCTTTGTTGGCACTTCTCGACGATTAACTGCAGCCTATCGTAGAATTGATCTATAGCGTCTTCATTGTGGTCGTTGGTAGACGCATAGCATTGGATGCTGTTCATTGAAATGCCATCTTTCCTTGTTTTGAAGTAGGCTTTGATGATCCTTGGTCCATGAGATTCCCATCCTATAAGTGCATTTTGTGCTTGTTTGAACAGCATCAATGCGACTCCTTGTGTATGTGGGGCATTTTCTTCTTCATGGCCGGAGTATAGCAGAAGCTCCCCTGAAGCTAGTTGTTGTTGTCCAACTTGTGTCCAATGTGTTTCACTGATCCCAAGTACCTCTAAGTTGTATCTTCTCATTTTTGCAGCAATTTGGAAGGCTCTCCCGGTGTCCCACATTGTACGAACATTCCATGTACCTAGATAAATGGTCGCTCTAGTTGTCAGAAGGGGCATCGGCTTCGTAACTTCCGAAGGAACTCGGTTTTCATCATGAGGCGTCATAACTCTTCTAAATGAAGACCTTCTGAATCCCAGGGCAGAGTTTAAATGGTTTGAATAATTTTTTCTGGTTATCGTTTTTTTGGCGAGTTAGTTTTCTACGGGATGGGATCGCTAACCCCATGCCCAACCGTCCTCCTTTATCCGGTCTTGTGACCGGCAGTAGCCCCCGGAGGAACTCCAGGCGGAGTTCAGTAAACTATACTAAATTATTGATTCAATTGACTATTTCGTGTGTTCTGTTAATTCTAAGATAGCTGGCTAAAGTACAACTAATTGTCAAATCATAAAAAACTACTACAGATCATTATTTTTGGGAAATTACCGAAGCTTGACTTTTGATTCCCAACATAATCCTAAATCACAGCTTCATGTTAAAATGAAGGAGACACATTTTTTGGGACGGTATGTTCTATAAGTACAACTTAGATAACTAATAATTAATTTTAATTCCAATTTCAGACCTGGTGGCGTTTTCAAATGCACTCCAAGGAAAAACGACTGATACAACCTCTCAACCCTCAAATGACAGCGGTTCGAATGTCACCCAAAGTACGACTTCTCAGGAATCACCAAAAGACAAGTCAGACCATAAAAAGGAAGGAAAAACTATTGCAAATACTAAAGCTGATAAAAAGGATGAGTCTTTTGATGACAATAAAATGGACACAGATTGACCAATGTCAAACCTGTATTAGCTAAAACTTTATTACATATATTCATTACACTGCGTTAAATCGACTGATTGAGGTTGATTAAAATTATATATATATATATATATATATATATATATATATATATATATATATATATATATATATATATATATATATATATATATATTAGCAAGAATATTTTGGCATGCTTACACCGACGAACAAAAACTCACTTTAACCTTATCACTTGCAGATTTGCTCTTTGACGTTTGTTTCTGCGTATGTATTCAGAGCATCCATGAATTTTTCTGTCTTTTTTTACAATATTTACAAAGTTAGTTTTTGAATAAAAATAAAATTGAAGGCTAATGTCTGTAACTTATTTGTTTTTTCCCTACTACTGGTGATAATAATAATAATAGCATTAAAAATCCAGTGTTCTGTCTCAGCAATCCAATTATTCCTTTATATTGTTTACTTTTTTCTGGGTGTTTACATTCAAGATAAAGAACATGGCCAACTAGAAGGTGTTAGGGATCTTTGTGAACATTTGAACGAACCATCTCAGATGTTTTAGTCAATTCTCAATCAGAGACAATCTGACTAGAGTCTAAAATGCCTTTTACATTTATCGAAAATTTAAGCGTGAGCAAGTTCGTGAGTTGTATCACCTTCAACCGTCCTATGAAAAAAACTCGTGTGCTATTAAACTGAGTAATAAGTAATCTCAATGTTCGTTTGTTTTAGTGGTTGTTTTCTGGAAACATTGTTGAGTAGGTATGTTTACTTCGTTGCTAGGTCCCCTCTAATGGAACTAATACTGTGTTTATTAGGTCGGAAGCCCTCAGTCATAATCTTAACTGTACATTTTTATTAAACTTTGTTGAAGCAGAAGGTTTTCGTGTAACACTATATTTCACAGAGATTAGACGATTGTACAGAAATCTGATTATGATGGAGTTCCGTTGAAATGATGAACCAATCTGTGTTAGACAATCATTAAAAACTTGGAAGCACTAGACGGCCGTTTCGTCCTAATATGGGAATCCTCGACTGCACATTCACGTCCATGCAAGCGATAATCGAATCCATAACCCTCGGTCTCGCGCGCGAACGCCTAACACGTACTTCCTCTTGAAGTACATATTGGTGACATTCAGAAGAAAAAAGAGCTTCACAACCAATCTCTCCAGCTCAGAGATAGCGATAACTGTAACATCCTGAGCTACAAATTTTCTCCATTATCTTAAAATCAGATCATACATTTAGCGTTTTATAAAGTCAGAAAGTAGCCAGCTGAACTTTGTCAACATTTCGTTATGTTAACATTCATAGCAATTGGAAAAACTAAACTGCACTGTGGACTACTTCGCTAAAGTGATGTAAACCAACTACACTCCTAGAAATCGAATTGTTGAAATGTAACTCTGAATTTAAAAATAATTCAACTGAAAAAGTAGGTGACTCTGTAAAATGCGTCTCAACACTATGGTAATATTCGTCTAGATTTTCCAATAAGACGTACAATTGTTAGTTAAGAATTTTTCAGGCTTTGTGTTGTATTTGATGTAAAGTGAGTTTTACAGTACCTCATGAAATATCTAAAAGTGCTATTTTCCCAGAGTGGAATGTTAATAAAGGAAGTGTTAAACTAATCTAAGAATGTCTTTTAAACCATCCTAATAGTCTTTTCTCATTATGATGGATACTTTCCTCTTGATGTTCTTTATATGATGTAAGCTAGTGTGTATAAACTACAAGTAACATTACGTAACATTGATTATAGTGATTTAGATATATTCATTCTTTGTTTGAATGAATTCTCTTATTATTCTATAGTTATTCGTCTCACAATATTCTATATTTTCTTATCTTTGTGAAGTGTAAATACTTGAACCACTGGACGTTTTTCCTAGTCACCATCTTGTCTTGATAGCGGCGAAATATACGTAAAGCAATAAATGAACCGTTTCCTTATTTTTTTCTACTGTTTACTCGAAATATTACAAAATAAAAGCTTATTTCTACTATCATATTTTGTCGAAGAACATTACCACTGAAGCAGTCATGCTTGTCGTCAGTAGATGATCAAGTGGGTGTGATTCCCTGTTTAATTGCTATATAGGACTGGTTTGCATGTTCACGTCTATGACTCCTCGCGGAGTTTTGACTACCGACCACCAGTTTCCAATCGACTGTCCTGAGCACTCTTTTGTGTTGTTCACTTTTTTGATGTCTGCTTCCAATCTAACTCAGTGTGTTCTTTGGTCTGTCTTACCATTTTGCTTTCGGGATTCCCAGTATGAGCTCGTTCCATGATGCAGCTTGGTGTTTTCTGCTATATTTATCCTACCCACCTCCAACGTCTTTCTAATTTTCTCTTCAGCTAGAAGTTGATTTGTTCTCTGCCACAGTAAGCTGTTGCTGATGCTATCCGGTCAACAGATATTAAGTATTTTGTGTAGACAATTATTTAAAAATACCTGTGCTTTTTTGATGATGGTTATAGTAGCTGCCCAAGTTTCAGCTCCGTACAGTAGAACTGTATTGACATTTGTACTGAAAATTCTAACTTTGATGTCGGCTGACAGTTGTTTTGAGTTCCATATATTCTTCACTTGTAGGAATGCTGGCCTTGTTTTGCCAAACCTTGTCTTTACATCTGCATCCGAAACTCCTTGTTTATCCACGATGCTGCCCAGATATGTGAAAGTTCCCTCCTACTTCACAGCTCTACCAAGTGCTATTGGGTTTGTTCTCTGTGTTGTATTATAGGACATTGCTTTTTCTCTTGTGAATGTTGAGACCTACTGATGCAGAGGCTGGTTTCACACTGGCTGTCTTCACCTACATTTGTTGCTGTGTATATGGTAGAAGAGCTAGGTGGTTTGCAAAGTCCTAATCGTCTGAATTCATCCAAGCTCTATTGTATTCCGTGCTTCTTCTTAGATGTGAAGGTATTCGTAATCCAGTCAAACACCAGAAGAGAGAGGCAGAGTAAACAGCCTTGTCTGACCCCGGTTCTCACTTGCAATGCATCTGTCAGCTGTCCACCTTGCACGACTTCGCAGTGTAGTCCGTCGCATGAATTCTGTATACCATAGTGTCGAGGAACGTTCCATAAGGATCTCCTATCCATATTGTCAAACGTCTTTTCATAGTCAGGGATGTTGGTTTATAGTGACGCGTTCCATTCAGTTGATTGCCCAATAATGATCCGTAATGTCGCGATTTGGTCTGTGCACGATCGATCCTTACGGAATCCAGCCTATTGGTTTCGAATTTTTGCGTTATCTGGTTCAGCGACACTGTTGAAAACTTTTCCTGGCACTGACAGTAGTGTGATGCCTCTGTAGTTTCCGCATTTGTTCAGATCTCCTTTCTTTGGTATCTTGATGAGTTGTCCTTCTTTCCAGTCTGTCGGCGGCGTTTGTTCTTCCTCCCAAATCTTCCTGAAGAGAATGTGAAACATGCTTGCAGTTACTTCCATGTCTGACTTCAGAGCTTCAGATAGTATATTGTCAGGTCCTGCTGCTTTCCTGCTCTTGATTTGTTTGATGGCCATCCTGATTTCTTCTATTGTTGGTGAAGTAACATCTAGAGGAAGGTCTGTGTGTTCTGCTTCTATGTTCAGTGGGTTTAGTGGAGCTGGTCTACTCAAGAGTTCTTCAAAGAGCTCTACCCACCTGTTTGACTGTGCTTGAATCTCAGTAATTGGGTTGCTTTCTCTGTTCTTGTTCAACTGTGGTTAATTGATATCTTCTTGTTCTTCCTTTCTTGAATCTTGCCCAGGGTATCGGTAGGAACCCATTCCTTATGATGATGCCTCTTGTGGCCCAGAACCTCCTTACACATTGGAGTTAGTGCTTTATTGATCGCTTGCCAGTTGTTCTTTATGATAGTATCCTCTTCTTTGAGTAGATCTTGTAAGACTCGGAATCTGTTGCTGAGAGATATCTTGAGTTCTCTGAGTTTGTTGGCACCTCTCAGGAAGGCTGTTTTCCCAGTTGTTCAGTGTTTCTTAACTGCCAACAGATGATAGATGGTGATCTGGACCTATATCAGCTCATCTCTTTGTTCTTGCGTCTTCCATTTAACTTCTGGACTTTTTACTGGTGCAGATGTGATTGATCTGATTCTCTGTAGGGTACTCCGACGAATCGTATGTAGCTTTGTATTTGTGGGGGGGGGAGTAGTGTCACTTATAACCATTTTGTTGAAGGCACGTTGATTTGCAAATATTTCACCATTTTCTTTACTTTCTCACAGTCCATGTTGTCCAAGGATATTTTCATACCCGGTGTTGTCCATTTCGACCTTGGCGTTTAGGTCTTCTACCAGGACGCTCAGGTCCCTTCTTGAGCACTCCTCTACGATCAACTGTAGCCTCACAAAAATAATTTTTATCATTTTCACTGCTATCATTAGTGGGTGTATAGCATTGGATGATATTCATTGTGATCCCTTCCTTCTTTGTTTAGAAGAATGCTTTGATGGTTCTGGATCTATGAGATTCCTAACTGGTCAGGTGCTATTTAGGTTTCATTGTGGTAGATTTAGGAGTGAAAAGCTCCCACGTAGACCTCAAAGTTCTTCTAAGTTCTAGGTTATATACTAAGTAATTTCCATAACAGTGGCCCACGTATTTAGACGTAGAAAGTATGCGTCCGGTCAGTCCCCAAATACTGTACTTTTATTCCGAGTAGTGTATGCATTAAGGATCATCTCAGGTTTGAATCTGTCCAGCGACGCCATGCACTTCAGATTCTTGGGAGTAATTGCACTTTGAATTACAGATCCAGATGCATCAAGCTAGGAATTGGTCCTTTTTAGAAGTGGTGACAAACTAAATGTAATCTTTTACATCCACTGGTGTAATACAATATGAAGAATCACCGAGTTATAGCACTCGTCACTATCAAAATTTAAATTGTCTCATCTTAAATCTACTCTGTCAAAATGAGTTAGTTTGCAAGTAAAGTTCGGAACTATGGAATAATTTACCAGTCTATTCGTAAAACAAAATAACTAACGTCGTTTGTACGCTATATTGATTATTACCTCTGCTTTGAAGTAGCCTTAGAAATGTTTACAACAGTGGCCATATCTCACTCCACCAGTGAAATTATGTGGACATTAAACGTTTGATCACCACCATTACTAAGTACACTTATCAAGCTTCCTTTCTTGTTGATATTTTACCCATTACTGTCTAAGTTGATTGGCTTAAACAAAATTTATTTAAAGCAGTAGGTCACAAAAGAACCAACGATAATGACGACAGACTTGTCACAGTAATTTTAGTTGTTTTTGTTCCGTGTCGTCTGTTCTCATTTCGTGATCATAATAATAAACTTTTTCAATGTGTTATCAACTTATAGATGTCTCATACAAGTTACTTTTAAGATTTGTAATAAACCTTTCAGAGTTCGCATTCAAATATTTGGACTCATGAATCACAAATGGAATGGTATTAAACACATGATTAGTTCATTTTAAAACAAGGGATAAATTTAAAGATTCAGACCTTATTATGAAGTTATTCAAATCGTTCATTTTAAACACTGATTAATAGAGAACAGATTACATTTTATTACTTGTCATTGCAAAAAGAAAAGAAAACAGTTTAACCAAAAGAATAGAAACAAACATGAACAACTAGAAAGATAGTAAGGGTTTATTGATTATTGATAATAGAATAATCACAAGAGTTCTAACAAGTTCATTGTTTAACTGGATGACTGACTTAGTTCAAGAATAATTATAATATTATATGTAGTTTATGTTTGTCTAAATAGTTTTCTGTAATAGATAACTCATGTTAATCAATATGAAAAGACTTTGATTCATATACAAGTTTTCATAGGACAACATAATTAGCAATTTCAAATCAAATGTTGTCTTCACATTGATTAAATTTGGTGAGTTAAGTTGACAGAAGTTATTTGATTCCTTCAAAACTGCACAAATCTATTCAAATGTACAACAGAAACAAGAGAAAAAAAACGAGGGAAAATTATTCTTCGTCCAAGTAATAATTTGATCCACTCGGTTTTTTGAACTGCTTTGTGCTTCATTTATGGGAAGGGGTTAATTAACAACTTTTTCCGTTATATTTCTGAAGAATGGCTGAAGTTTGATGGTGATGGAAAATTTGGTTCTAGTGGATTCATTAAATTTACTGATTGTTCTTGAGTTATTGAGTTCTGTTTTGAAAAGAAAATAATGTTAGATTTATAATTTCAAAGAAGTGACTTTTTTCAGGAGTGAAGAAACAAAAGAATGTTTTTAAGGAACAATCAATTAATCAGTTTTCCCCTTATTATTTGATTAATTTTTCAGGATCCACTATGGTGATAACTTCCCTTATAGACTTAGATCGCTGAAAGCGCCCGTAAGATATCACTATAATTTATGGAAAGTTGTTATTTTTAATTCTATGACTACACAAAATAAAGTTTCGATACTTATAGGGTTTTCTTTAAAAAGAAATCTAAAGTAAGAACAGATGAGGATACAACTTCAACGACACAAAAATTGAAATGGATTCGTTGAATATTAATGGGAAAGAGTTGGTATTCAACCCACAACAGGACTACATAAAAACACCATTTAAATGTTGTCTATCCAAAATGCTACTGATATTATGTGAACACAACTAAATTTCTTAAGCTTATATTTAATTCAGTTCTATTTTATTCATTGAGTAGACGGTTATATTTTACTGTAAGTTGTTCGCTTCATCGTACTGATAAATGTGTAATGCACTCGCTGTTGTTGACTAGGACTGAAAATAGTACTCCATGAATTTTGTCTTTGTTCTAACTCATAGCTAGAATGCCTATAAGTAGTGTCTAAATACCACCGAGAAGCTGTTTCTTTATGGATAAGTGATTTTTCACGACCTAGCTGCGGTTCTATAATTTTTTTCTATTGGAAACCTGTTAAGCGTAACTGTAGACCTTTGGGAAAATATTCATTATCAAATGGTATAAAACTTTGGAGACCATATCGTCGAATCCATTGTTTAGATCATTATTATCCTGATCGATTTATCTGGAATCCATGTCGGTGTATTATTAGCTAAGTGTGCTACTAGCATGGAAATGTAAAATAAGTTCATGTATACTGCAAACATTGCGCAATAGTTTGAACTGTCCTTATTAATGGTAGTGTTAGTCGCTATTCAATTCGATTTAAAATAAACGTAACGAAAATTCTTATTTATGGTCTGATAAATAACAGTAGGGATTAAACTAGAACATTCTAAACATTCACCAATGAATTACTTTTGTTTATGAACTAGTCAAAAGGAAGAAATTTCGAATTCATATAACTTCATACAAGAGCAAATTACGAAGCAGTTTAGTAAGATTTTAGTGTTACGATAAAAATGGAAAAAGAACTTTTAACTTGTGACTGATAGGCAGATGACCAAAAATTTAGAACATTAGTTTCCGAATCCATGGTTTCGTTTTTTGTGCATTAGTTCGATTATGATTAGAGGATCATAATGATGAATTCAGTTTTCTTGCTGCCTAGTAAACAGAAAATTTGAATCTTGCTATATATATATGTGTAAGGCGTGTAAGGATTCTTCGATTATTAGTGCATTCCCGTTAATTCAGTAAGCTTATCGAATTTTTCATACTTATAAGAACATTGAGCAGTTTTTTGAAAATTTATAAACACAACAGCCCAACTTAAAATAAGTCATTACTGTTATTCGAAACTATAAGTGGGTATTCTGTACCTGTCTCAAATATCTTCAGCTACCCATCTGAAATTCATTTTCTGTATCTATATACAATAAATATGGGCAACTTAATGGGTAGTTGAAATGATCTTTATTATTGAGATTCTGGAACTCTTGTCTCCTCAGTCTAATGAACAGTTTCATTACAGCTAATCTAATACATGTACGATTGAATTGAGAGCTGTATTTAACTAATATTTCTGCACTTCTGATGACCTTGACAAAAAGTAAATCTGAAAGCCACTAAAAAGATAACCACTGGTTTTCAAATTTGTCGTTTTAAGGGTGTTAGGCATAAAACCATTTGAAAATGTTCATATTACAATTTTCAACACTATCATAGTGAAGAACTATGTCACATTGGTAAAGTATATTATAATTAAAGACTATAGACAGTTAGTTGGATTCTGGATGATACTTATATATGGCAATCATGAATCCCCTTCTCATTTCAGCTATGAAAACTATATTATTCAGTAAATTTTCACACAGAAAACGTTGTGTTTCTATGACAGATTTTAGGAGTGAAAGTGTATGAGGAACATGATATGGTTTTACCAAACGTAATTAAGGTAAAAACAGGTAAGCTTCATCGAAAAAGTTTTGGAAGACAAATGAGGAATATGTATGCAGATATGTCACACTGGAGAAAATAATAAATCTCGGATCTTAATTTATATGTTACAGTTTATATGACTAGTTGAACATTGGTGAGTTTCAATTGAGTTTACTGATGCAAGGTCAAGATTCAGGCATCTACGGTTGTACGAATGCATCATAGAGCTAAGTTTTATTATGGTGGCCATAATGTATTTGATCGAAACAAATTAAATAAACAATAAAGAATAGAGCATATGATCCTTTAAGTTCAGCCTGTATCCATCTCCAAGGTTAAATACTGCTTGCAAGCCAAATACTTATGTTCTTGAAGGATTTTAGAAACTTTTGAGAAGAAATAACCATTTGAAATTTTTTTATAATGGATTAGTACATCGGATACTGAACTTTATATTTTTATGCTCTTTTTGAAGGGTACATGTATGCATAACTCGTAGAATGAGGTTCAGTAAAATCATCAAGAGATTTAGTATTCTTCAGATTACTTATGAGTTTACACAAAACGATTATTATTTAGTTGTTGGTAAGGTTAAGCGTCCTCACACGAGACCGAACGTCCTGAATTCGATTCCTGAGTACGGAGTCGTGTATATGCACTGCCAAGGAGTCTTACACTTGGGTAAGACGGTCATGCAGTGCTTCCAAATTTTCAATGGTCGTCTAACTTAGATTGGTTGATGATTCCAATGAGAATCATCAATATTATGAGTACATTTCAGAACACGTCTTAGAAAAAAAATGGTTTTCATTGTAGATAGTGTAGAATGTCAATTAATATTTCATTGGTTACATTTTCTTTCGTAGCCAATGATCATCTGTGTACATTTTGATAAAATCATACAGTAAAATAAACGCATATATGCATTTATTAGCTCATAATAGAAATTCCTTGTAATGCATATTAAGAGTTTAATGATCATACTATCTCTTGCACTCAAGTGTTAAGTAATCACCACAATTAGTATTACTGTCATCAGTTGACCAGAAATATTTAAATACTGTCCACTGTCTTGTAAGTGAAATTGTTGACTATTGTGCAATCATTTCGACACTAACAGTGGGTCACTGAAAGTTAGGAGAAAATAGTATATTACACATGCCTTTAGAAGGTCTGGTAGGAACTAAGTAAAATACATAGACATATTATTACATGAAAAAAAAAACGTAAATTCAGCTTGTTTATAACTGTTACCGTATTTACAGCTGTTTTAAATAATGGCACTATGGAAAATAATCACGACTAGAAAAAACTTATTTCAGTTGTAAACTTGCAGTATGATAGATTGTTGACTTCTCATTACTCACTACATCGTCAGTCACCATAGTTTTCTGTTCAAAGTTTGGATGTAGTAAATTTGGAGTTTCGGATTTTTCATGGATTTCTTGATATTGAAAATTTATAAAGTCGACAACTGTATTTGAAAAATCAATCGGGATATTGGAGTGTTTATCACTATTCTCATTATTATTGTTATTACTATTCTCATTATCGTCTTCAGTGATAGTCTGATTATGATTACGGTCTAACTCTATGAAGTTGGTTAATAATACAGTATTCATCGAATCATCGTTTGTTCTCGACGTGTTAGACCAGATTAATAATGAATTTATACAATTCTCTCCTGTTACTTTATTCAATATCGGTAACCGATTGATCATCATCGCAGTGTTTTCAATTTGGTCACCATATTGATTGTAATGAATATCGCTAACTGAACTGTTGGGTTCGTCTATATTCACTCGGTGATGATGAGGTAGTGAAACTGGTGGAGGAAATTGGGGAGTACGCGTTGTAGTATGCATTGGATGAACTTCATTTAATGAATGAGAATGAAATAACGAATCCAATGCATTCGATTTGTTTTCATCCACATTTTGTTTTTTCATGCTTTGTTCATCATAAAACAAATTTGGGAAAGCTACAAATCTAGGTGGAATAGAATGGTGACTTTCAACCTCTGTTCCTTTGTAAGGAATGTGATGATGTCGGGTTTTATATGGAGATTGGTTAGAAAGCTATACGGAAGAAAAAATGATTTCAAATAGGTGATTATTAAACATCGGGATTGGTATAAACATTATCTTATCTCACAGAACTTTTTTCACAGTAATGTTTTTTGTATTATATCCTTATTATCAAACAATGTGCAGCTAAATCACCTAATAGGGGGTAATTCATCATTGATGTCGTAAATCTGCCACTTAAGAAAATCTCATTATTGGTGAATTTTAATAAAAGCTGAAGTTATCTTGAAATTGCAACTAATGATATATGAAACTAATTTATATATTGAAAAGTAAAAACATAAAAATGCTTTTAAGTCATCATTAATCCATTACTTGGGCACATTTGAACACGATATTTCGTTGTAGTAGCCATAGATTGGTAGTTTCCCAATAATTCGGGTCATGTATTGTCTATAGACTAACACAATCTGTACCCACTACTTTATAGGCTCAAATGAATAGTACATGAGTTATATTGGGAAATCTATATTATCAATGAAATATGCTGTAGAAGTATTGAATTGGCTCACTTATCTCTTAAATCAATACACTCTCGTTACAAGGATCGTTGTATGTGGTCTTGATTTAGTATGTACTTATTGTCTAGGAAGCAATTTTAATAGCTGTAAGTTTATTTGTGATTATTTCCTTTTTGTTGGGAACTTAATATCGTCCATGAAGAGACTCTTTGTTTCAGTAAAGTCATATCATACAGTCTGATAGATAGCATGAACTTCTTAGACATTCTGACCTATCTTTTGAGGACTCCCAACGTTATCCTATGGGCTAACTAGTCGCTGATACCTATTCGTCATGATGTTCAGAATCAGTCATAGATCTTTGTCCAAAATACTCAATAGTTTTGTTCTTATATTCACTGACATCAGAGGTAGCAGTGTACAGATAGAAATCAGGGCGTTAAATGGGTCTTCTATTGCAGGTATTAGCTTACATAATTTTCGTTCGCTATTTACGGCACTGACATGACACCGGAAATCCTCTGTTTCATTCATACCGAGCGTAAGACAGCACTGATATTGATTCAATGAGAATAACATCACCGAACTGTCAGTTTATGGACTTACACTTATTATCAATGAAAGTCTTCGTGGGTTTCAATGTACAACCACAATATAGTATTTGTCTGAGATGGATTAAGATTGTAAACTAGACGACAAAGAAGATCAGAATGGTTACCGTTCCCCTAGAGGTACCACAGAAAGATCTCGTGTTATTTCTTGACTAAGTTGACGTGGCTATAAAGTTTGAGAGCCAGGACTTACAGTTGGTTATATGTTAAATGGTATGCAATCACGTTTACTTCTGTGTCGGCGTCGTTTAGGCATTTTGATTTTATTGGAAAAAGTCTATCCCATCGACTAAGAAAATCATACTCCACATAAGTTAAGAACGCCTATGACCCATGATCATAGTCAAATTCCTTAATAATGACTAGTCGAGTTACAATACAATCAAGATTTAAGATATACCTTGCCAGTGAGGGACAACTAGAATAAAACCTAGGCCTAGGGTTCCCTCCTAAATGAATTCAACCACCTGTCTGGTTTGTAATTACAACAGCTCTTGTTATATACAGTTCTGTATATAATATCGTACTGATATCTATTATCAATAAAAAAACTCGCCTGTTTAGAACCATCCATACGCGTCACTAATTTGTTCATAGGTTTTCCAGAACCTCGAGAGAGATTCGGTACATATAACTGATTAGATTTTAGTGTGTTCATTTTTGGTTTTCTCTTGCGAGTTTGAATCCCTTCTTTCTTCATAGATATTGGACGGTTTATCTGAGATCGTAAAAAAAATATTCCAGGAAATTATTAATTACAGACCAAAGGTATTCTTCTGAACAAATGACCACATTTATTGAGCTGAATAATAAATCCAAATATAACATTTATGGTTAAAGGTATTTCCTATTTAAATTTCTTTAACACCATGTTTTAATGAAGTCAACTGTTTAATTTATATACATATATATATTTGCCATAGTGAATTTCAAAGCTGAATTAATACTAGAAAACTGGAAATTCTTGACTCATGTTATGCTAGAATATCAGGCTGATTATTAATGGAACAAATTGTGCAGTTTATTTCGATGTTTTTGGTGGTTTTGTGTTGATTAAATTGAGTGGTTTATTCTAGAACACATCTTTAGTGATAAATTCAACATCACTAAGATACAGAAATATTGATAATCCGATAAATTAACTCTGTTTTATTTTTATTAACTTGGAGCATTATAAAAGAATATTGGACCGTGTCTTAACTGTGGGCTTAACGTACTATTCAGAAGTAACTAAGTCACATTTACAGTATTTTCGGAGACAACGTGATAACAACGATAACATAGGATTGCGATACCTTTAATCACATTCACTATGTTTAAATCTTTCTATGCACATCCTGTCAACCTAAATCATTTTCTGTGTATTTTATCAGTGACTGTGAAGACTCTTTCTTATTGATTAGGACTTATATCTTTATATCGACACATAGAAGAAGATTTTACATTCCTTCCGTCGATAAAATATTTTTCCAGTAGTTAACATTTAAACAAATGATTTGATAGAATTTTTCTGCATATACTTTAACTACTATTTTAATATTCAGTAATTTGAAAATGCAACCAAAACCAGGTGGCGTATTCAAACAAAGTATACGAGTAAAATATGAATCATTAGAAAACTCTAAGTTACCTAACACATTTTTATTCATTAAAAGCAGAGGAATTCTTTTAAAAAATAACCTTGTTGCTGAATCACCTGATTTTATATGTTTCACTGTGTTAGCTGTGAAGTAATGCGCTATATCAGCTTAATAAGTCATAAGTCATTCAAAGAATTCATTCATCCAAAAATTTATTTTAGTTTTGTATTTATGAAGAGAAATTTATGCCAGGTCTGTTTTGCTACCAGTAGAGATGAAATTTTATTGGCTTCCTTATGATTTTTATACCCATTTTCGTTTAATCGTTTATTATATGGTAATTGATTTGTCACTTTTGCTCAAGACTTAATAAAAATGACTCTTATTTAGTCCCTTCATAATACGTTTGGTCATTTGAATGGTAGATCTATCATCGGTTATTTTTTCGGCTGAGATTTTGCATTTGGTTTAATCAAAAAATTATTGGTTAGGTTATTTCAGTAATTTTGATAAATTTATCAAATCGATGGAGTATTCACAATATTTTGATATTCTTTAGTTTGGCTTGGTTGAATAAATAAAAGGCAATCATTCATGTGGCCGATAGACAAAACTAGCTCCATCTGTATTACCGAACATAATTTACACTTTTGAAGTAGTACACAGGGTTCCCAATAAATGAGTGAACTATGATCATACAAACATCATCTTACAAAATTTAGAGGACATCAATCTCGTTTCTTTCGAAGTACTTCGATTTGTGAAAGTATAGTCGTTTCATCTCCCTTTTACTATTTGAAACATCCTAAAAAATTTTCGGAAGTCAGCTTTTTCAGCTACCTGATCGTTTCGTCATTTTTATACAACATTTTCTCAACATGAATGCTTTGCTAGAGTTGTAAGCCAAGACAACTTTCCTGAGTTCAGTACATGAAGAACCATTCGAACAATAAATCGGATATCAGAAAATATTTTAGACCTCAACATTCTATGTTTTAAATAACACAGCTAATGATCAGGTTTGCCTTGAATTCTCCTTAAAGTCTTCGTGAGCTTTACTTAAAGTCTAGACCTACCAAAAACGAGCTGTTTTCCTCAATTCTTTATCTCCAAAAACAACCCTAAACATCTGATAAATCTATTAAGAGTTTACAAATTCATCGGACAGAATATATATTTTTCTAGCGGATAAATTCCCAGACATATTTAATAAGGCATATCGAAAATATATGACTCTGTTCCATCAGGTGTGGAGAAACCAATGCCCACACAGTAATAGGATTCTTAAGTCTTATTTTGTTTTCAAGTAGGTTAAAGCAATTACGAACGTTTTTGTTATCTAACCTTGTGCAGTTTATAATATAATCCACATGCATTACAAACTGGTTCTCCTTCCGTATTACGACGCCATAGGGTAGTTGCTGAAGTATTACAATTCGTACAAAATTGTCCTGAACGACGTGTAGAGTTTGGAATATTTAACTGGTGATGATAAAAAAGGAAGAAAGAGTTGATAAATCATGTAAAGTATTAGTAAACAGTGGTTGTAACTGCCATAATATCTCAGTGTATTTCTCTTCAGTGGGAATTAACCAATAATTTGAAATGAATGGTCCACTAGGGTGCTTGGTAGCTGTGTGGTTGCGCCACAGGATTGAGCTGTACTATTCAGATTGTAGCGTTAAAGCCTGTACGGTGTCTGGTTCCCCTGCTAAACAGGGTTGAGCTGTACTGTTTGGGTTTTTATGTGAAAGATCGGATGGTGTCTGGTTCTCCTGAAAACCAATGTAAAATTACCCTGGCCCACAAGGGTATATTGTATAAACTGTGAACTTGAGATGAAAGATGAGATATGGGATACTTCAAAACTCATTCGAATAAACAAAGTTTTAAATTAAACATTCTGGTGTTAACTAAAGAATGAAAACTGGTGTTGAATATAATCAAAGTCACGTCAAAAAGGATTAATAATGAACAGTTATTGAGTTATCTTTGAACTAATAATTACAGTATACCAAGCTATATATTGGAGACAACTGATATGACCATAATTTAAGTGTGAAATATCATAAAAAGTCATACTGAACAGCAAACGCCTTTTTTCAACAGATTCTTGTGTTATCTGACTCTAGAGATTAACGTAACTGATTTTATTATCCGACTGTGTTCCATTCTAAGAGCGTGGATCCATTATTTGATAAATAATAGGATTAATTTTCTATGTTCTATAATTGATTCACCTTGAAGGTAAAAACTAGAGACTTTTACTACAGTCATTTCATTTCTTGAAATATACTTATGCCTTCCAGTATGTTTTTTTCTGATACCCTACTCAACTATTAGTTAATTGCTGGAATAGGGAAAGTTCGTGATGTCTTCTGTGAACTATGCAAAGTAGTATAGTTATGATTTGCCGTACACTAACAACTTACACCATGTACTACTTCTACGTAGTATTAAAAGCTTAATAATACACAATTACATGTGTCATACTCTCATATCACATGGTCCTGATGAAAGAGAATGAAGTCTTTAACATATTTCAATGATTAATGTTGAAAAAAATCTGTTTCTCACAATAAAGTAGCATGATTATTTGTATTATCTTCTCGATGATGTAACATAGTTATTCAACAATAACGCTAAAAATCTTAAGAACAAATCCAGAGCTTACTGAATTAGATGACTTTGAGATGTTTTCTTCACTATGTATTGAATCGATTGGTAGCCTAGTAACAGCCGCATCCTTCATCACGTTCGTTGTATATTGTGACCATGTAGAATAGTTTGAAATCTCTTGAGGTGATTGTATTTGCAAGTGCTTATCTGATGAAGAACGTAAAAACAAATCACAATTTTACATGTAGGTCAAGTGTTAATTAACAGAGTCCAATATTTAAATGTGACCTTTTAGACCAACAAGAAACTCATAAATGTCCCCTTCAGTCTTTAACAAAAGATGTGAAGCAATCCTCCTAACAAAAATGTGTAAGTTATTCACCGACCGGTGAGTCATACTTACTTGTTGTCGAATTCTCTAGGAATGAAATCACATCTTTTACAATTGCAACTACTTCACTCAGTATGCTTGATATCAAATAGCTTAACACAAATTATGACCTGAAGAAAGTGTTCGAGTATTTCTTTTTATCAATAGTTTCTACAGTATTTTTGTCGCTGACAGTTATCATTGTCAATGTTCTTTGGTTCAGAAACCTCTTCATTGAACATCCGTACAGATATTCATTTCATATTGCAAAAACCTTAATATTAAATATTTATTCACATTACGTAAAATCAACAACATACCACCAAAAACTTGAAAATTACTAAAAGAGAAATTAACAACTTACCTATCTCATTAAAATTGTCCGTAGGATTGAATATAAATGAAGGATCTTTAGAGTAAGATTTGACATCATTCCATATAAGAAGAGACAAACTCCCATTATCTTGATCTAAACCTGATCGATTTCTATTCCGTGTGCCATAATTCAGTAATGGATCAAAGAATGGCTTAGCTTTATCAGCTGGTGCATTTATACTTGGTGCATGTTTCATTTTTCTTGTTGACTTAATTCTATTATTATCATTGTTCACTTGTTGATTACATTCATTGCATAAATAAAGTTCAGTAATTCTGTCGAAAACCCATTTTTGACTTTCAATATTAAATTTTCCACATTGTACACACTGAGGAGCTTGTAAACATTTTTGTTTAAAATTTTTTTGATGGGAAACAATAATAGCAGTTGAAATTTGATTGTTAGTTGTTTTTATCAGAGAAAAACATATTTTAAGAGAAACAATATCGATTGATACACCTTGATATGAAAAAATGTTGGAAGTTTTATTTGGATTTTTCAACGAAAAAAAAGTTCAATTACCTAACGTTTAGTAAACTTCATTTTAGAATTGTAATCGTATTTTCCGATTTGATTACCTAACTAGATTCACCAAAGCGATATTCTCATAAATCCTTTTTCAATGATTTAGAACTTTCCTTAACGATACATATATGAATGTTTATCTCATTTCACTTGGTTAAAATAAAACGTTTTGTGTTATAGTTAAAAAGAAGCCTCTCTCACATGTAAAACTAGTGAACGGTAGTATTATGATAAACATTACAAATAGAAACATGTTATAAAGAGAGTACAGTGATGTATTGACACATAGATTCTCAGCAATAATGAAAGTGGAATCCTACTTTCCTTAATAACTGAGATTCATGAATTCTTTTTTCCAAAAAGGATTTTTAGTTTCAAAAAGTTCCCTATTTGCCAAAAATTAATATTTTCTTGGAGTAATGTCTTCAGAAATGCTGATAGTGAATAAGTATGTTCATACTTAATGGTTTCATGAAACGTTTTCGTTTCATTCTCAGTTAAAATTTAGACAAAACTATATTTCATTGTTAAATACTATCAAGATAAACACAATTTACGGTCATTCTCTTAGACTAATATTATCTAAATAAATACTGGGGTGTATTGGAATATTTTGATTTGATCAACCTCAGTGTTACTCAATAAGCTCTCGTGGTGAGAGCGTAAACAAATATTTGTTGAGCTAGGAGTTATTCTTCTAGGTCAACCAGTCCAATCTATTTCCCATATTACAGATTGTCTTTTGTTCGTTTGGATATTTTTTTAAAGGGATCTCTTCATTTCACTAATCATTCCGTTAATTTCAATAGTTACGTTCAAAGTAGTCTAATCCTCGAAAAATTGCAACACGAAACGGCTATTGTAGTAAGTTATTTCCAAAGCATTATTTCTGTCACAAATATTAGACACAGTATATGATAGTTTTGTAAATAATGCTTTCTAATATTAGTTTCATAAATTCTAACTCAGTAAATTTCAGCAAGCAACCGTCCATGTTCCGCACATAACAGACACACCCACATGGTATATATACAGATTTTATGTACTCATACATTATGAAAATAAACATACAAGTATAGTGAGTAACGCAGGTTGTTGCAGCAATAGTAATAACAATTTAAAAACTTGTTTTTGTAAATCGAAAACAAAACATAAGCATGAATATGCTTGCTTTTTAGATCGAACTATTAAAAACATATTTTTCTATAGAGAATACATCGTTCATCTGTCCACCTGATTGTTATGTCGGTTAAATATTTTCCTTACGATTTCAGTGTCTACTTACCTAACTAACTTACCAATCAACGTACTCACCAGCTACCCTACCTCACTCTAATTTATTCATATAAAAAGGGATAAAATACGGTGGTGGAGTAAGTAAACGACAAATAGAAAGACAAAGTGAGAGAACTCGCTGAAAAATACAGGAAAATATGCGTATATATATATATATATATATCTGCATCGACATGGTTGAGATTTGTGACCGCTGTCATTGTCGTGTTTGCTCGGCTTATCAGTACGAGTAAGTAAACAGAAAAATGAACTTCATGTATTTGGTGAAGTAGGCGGTGATGATTAGTATGGTGGTGGTGGTGGTGGTAAAATTGTTGTTGTTATGACCTAAGGTACAAATTTTGCTCTTATTTGATTATTAGTTATGATATGGTTTATTAACGAGGGTGGAGACGAATGAAGTATGAAAAAACTGAAGGAACATAATAATAGCGATAAATGAGTAATTATGGATTCTCTTATTCCGTACTCTTCTAATTCTGAAAATATATGTTAAATCTTACCACCCCACTTTGTAGTGAGTACATGCTGACATATCCCTATATTTAGATACAAACATACAACATAAATGAATACGTACAGTGGAAAACTGAGACTGTATAAAACTTCGTTTATAGTGGGACAACAACATATGCTATATGTTTATTAAAGCAAGCAAATAATCGCTATTTCAGAACTTAATTCACTCGAAAATATAAAAAAACATTAGAATAGTAAAAAAATGTCTTGTTAAATAAAGTCCTTCCTACCAGTCAGAATACTAATGCTGACGAAGTCAATGACTATTTATGAGGCTACTTTTTATTATTACACTAGAGACAACAAAGAAACTACTTATGGTTTACAAGTAGTAGATATTATGCAAAAGTTAATTTTTTTATAAAAAGAACAAGTTATTTTATTTGCTACAAGTGGGGTCATGCACAAAAACGTACGCAATATGTATTTGTATATTTCGAGAGTGTGAAATTTCAAACGGATCTGTCAATTGCTCAGGATATCAGATGATGTTCAGTGTAGATTTGTATTTCAATGTAACTTCGGTTATTCAAAATAAGTTAGAATATATTTTAAAGGCTAAAAATATATTCAGCCATAATCAGTTTATTAGAAGTGTACTGACGGAGATCTATTTTAGAAAGCTGTATATTTCACACTAACTAGATCCAGCCAAATGAATTAAAGCAAAGTGATATTCCGAAGTTGTTTGACAGTTTTTTCATGACAATATGAGTTTTTGGAAAAACTATTTTAGATTGCTGTTGGATAGCATCTACTCATATCATAGTGTCATAGAGACAGTATTTGAATTGTGGGCAATGGTAAATATGAGGTGATACGTTACTATATATTAAAAGTAGATTATTTGTAGAATATTTCATTGTCAAACATTGAAGCTATCAAGTGAGCTAATAGATCATTGCATGTGACTTTAGTACCTGGTAGGAAGTAGTTTAATTTTAATGCACAATTTCACGATTAATGTTTCTAATGCAATAATCAGATATCGACGTTCAGAGAATGTAACCAATCGTCTATGAAGGGACTTTCGGTTTATGGTTGATTCCTCTTTATTACACACTGAGATCAGCCATATAGTTATTGAAAACGGGCAAACTCCAAACAACTGTTCTGTTTTAATCTAAAGTTTTCCGTGAAGGTTTCATTACGAAAATGCGTGTAAACAGTAATTACTAATTACAAACTTGGTAAGATCTTACAATACAATCATTTTTTGAAGGAAGTTTCAATGTTTTCTCACACATCGAAAAAATAAGTTTGTATTTACCGAATCACCTTGATGATCATTACTAAAAGATCAATTTTATCTGAGCCAGACGAAGTTTATACAACTAATAATTCTACTGAAAACTTCCAATTAATGTTGAAATTTCTTGTATGGTTGATACTATGAAAAAGTATTCGAAGTTGCAACCGAATCCAAATGACCAATATCACCTTCGGAAAAGCTAATAGAAAATATGAAAATCTTACTTTTATACTTATACTGATGTTACGGTCGAAACAAAGCTACAGTATGTATTTTAAACATTTGAAACTGGAGAAAATGCTAGATAGATCAAGTAGTTTGAGCTACAAATGGGAACTGTATTTAATTAGTATAGTCTGTGAAACAGAATTTAATTTGTTGGGCAGTTTATCACTTAATGTTTTCTTTCAAGGGCCAACTATTCATTGAAACTAATGTAAACTGAGTATTCTGATTGAAGTATTTCACCGTATGATATCAGTTAGATTAAGTGTTATTTTAAACTCGTTTATCTTGGGAAAACAGATGTTAGAAAAAGCAACTGAGGAGAACATACCATTCAAAAACAAAGAAAAAAGACCTATATGAGAATAATTTGATTACACGAAATGGAAAGTATTACTTTAAAAACCAATTCTATTAAAATAAACATGTCTATACTAAGGCTTTTTTAGACTTCCTAGACTATTTCATTTCAAACTTTAATCTCCACCAATGAACAATCAATTTTACAAACTATAATACATCATATACATATGCATGCAAACACACTATTTCATAGTGGAATTCGCTGGACATTAGTTTCACAACTACTATATGAACATGGTGGAACCAGGTCGAAGAGGAAACTATATAGATAATACGGCTGCTCATTCGTTTACATTTGCAACGTCGTTAACCTGTTATTTTCTCCTATTGCCATCATATACGCTCATCGTCTCAATCGAATGAATTTTCTTCGATGGAAAAGAAGTAGGAGATGAATAACCAGAAAGCAAGCGAGAATGTGAGCGAAGGGGAAAGGTAGGTGTTTCTACATCTTTCTTGTCTAAGTATTCTTTTGAGAAACATCACTTCTCAAGAAGCGTGGCTACATATATGGACGCGGAAGTTACTGCTTCTGTATAAATTATATGAGTGTATTTGTTTGCATCGTAGTTTTTTTGTCAGAATTTGTGTATGCTATTGCTAAGCTAGATTAATCACGTGACATTTATTTACTCATTCTTTTATTCTCTTCATGTTTTTTCTCTCTGTTTCAATGAGGTGTGGAGTTGAGTGTGAATACCTTGAAACATTAATATAATCATTCTGATAAATAAACAATCTTTCTGTGAGTTACGTCTATGTGCCTATAAAACTATAAACAGGTCTTAACTTTGATAAATAAAATACATAGCTACACGCTTCTAAGTATATGTACACAACAAACAAATACATCATTGAATAACAGGTATTCATATTAAAAAGATAGCGAATAGGGGCGCTAGTAAAATAATCCTTGTCCTTTCGAAACTTTCCTAAATAATAGACCACAAAATCTCAATAATTACAATCTGAAATATCTCTTATTAGGCGTAGATGGTTGTGTCAATCTGTGTAAGCTCTGATATTTATAAAATAACACAAGGGCACACTAGCACATATTTGGTACTCTACTTGTTGTTTACTATCCGCTCATCTTTTTTATATTCTAGCTTGACCGTGAAAATCAATTGCATTCCGTTCAAATTCAGAATCAGCGGTATTTTTGTTGTTGACTTATTCAATATTCAGTTAGCTATATTAGAATTACTATCATACTCTCTCTTTAAAGATACTCATTAGGCGTCACACAAGAATGCCGATGTAGCTAACATTCTGGATATCAACTCAAAATTTCAGATAGTTAAAGGTGATCGGCAAAAGTCAAAGGTGTATGGTTTGTGATTGTTTTCATTTATAAAAATTGAATTCACCTCAGTCAACGGATGCAAAGTCACTGATGTAAATTTCTAAGGATTCGTGCTGGATCAGTTAATTGAATGTTATTTCCTTACTGTGACAATGATCATGAAATCAGATGACGATAGAAATCACTCATTGTATTTTTCTAACTGTGTGGGTATATGAACGCATGAAATAATTTCTGCAGTGATGTTCTAACTTTCTGTAGACAGTATTTTAGATTTTCAGGAGTCTCCAGACAAATTTCATGCTTTGAACAAAGCATTTAATAACTTTTGAGTCTAATTATTCCCAAAGTCGAATAAACGGGCTGGCAGAACGACTATCAAGCATAATACATGTGAACCACTCATTATGTGATGATATAGACGTTAATAAATATGTAAATTCATATTATACTGTAAAAAATATACAAATTAACACATCATTATAATGAAGCAAGAAAATTGTAAACCGTTTATTCACTTTCAACAGTAGGATAATTCATGTCAGTATGTAACAAAAACCTTAACATAGTGTAATTGTCGGTTACTTTGCCTAACTAAAAGTCTATTTCCTGACTTTTCAATAATAGAAACTATTAAAATAGAAATGAACTTACAACTAAACTTCTAGGATCCATTTACGTATGTGATTTAATGTTGTTCAATATTAATTCATCTAGTTTTCAGCCTAATAGTTTAGGATTTAATTAAGAGATAAATGAACGAAGCACAGTGACGAATAGTTTAATGTTGTGTATCTTCACTAGATATGGACTAACGGTAGCATGGACAGTTATTGAAAACTAATTAGTAAATTAGCTCGAAAAGTGTTTTAAATTGAATGAAATAAGTATCGATATATACTCAACGATTTTGAGTTAAACAAATCATATTTGATTGAAAATTACAATAAAGGGATCTTGTAATATGATATTAAACAAATAAATTTAATATTGTATTTTCTTAAGATTGATCGACTTTATTCTCAAAAATACTGAGCACTAGAGGAGCTCCAAGCTGAAGGTTGTGGGTTCGATTCACGCGTGTGGAATCATAGATGCGCACTGTTGAGGAACCTCATACTAGAACGAAACGGCCGTCCAATACTTCGAGGTTTTCAATGGTGGTCTAACATCGATAGGCTCATGATCTCACTTAGTACTACTTTGTTTTTGGCACTAAACACCGTTAAAGTTCCCAGAGTTGTAGATAACAACCCTGTAAATTTCTATTTAGTAAGGAGCTGATTTTAATTACAAAACATCTCAGAACTAAGCAACAATATAAAGAATGCTAGAAAGAGTACACAAAGAGAAAATCATATAAACAGTGATCAAAAAAGTATACATTTATGCGACTATGGCCAATTTCAAGTAAATAACTGCATAAGTTCTACCACTATACAAAATACTTGTTTCGATAACCTCAGATATACATATATATGCATTTATACACTGACGACTTGATGTATTGTCAAAGTTGAAAAGTATAACCAGGATCAGTACTAACTGTATCTACTCTCCTTATTACAAGTATCTATGATTACATACACAACAATATTATACATATGATAAAACATTAAATGGCATATATATAATCTTGGTATTATAGAATACATATACATTCAACGTTATCTATTAATATTTACTTTTATCAATTCAGATTAGAAAAACACTGTATTCGAATGAAGAGAGGAAAAATTAATAATAATCACCCATTCGACAACACGATGAGACTAATTTGTACACTAATACCAGTTATTATGCGGATTTTAATAGCTGAACTCAGTGAACTTGCTTTCATTGGTATATATATACCATAGAGTAATAGTAACTGACTACTGCTTATCATGGATATATATTTTATTGTGTTTAAACATTGATGAACGGCTTTTCAACACCGATATAAATCAACATAATGAAGAATATTGGGTAAATAGTGATTTTAAAAATTAGGCGATTAACCAACATTTAACATAACTGAATACTCAACCCATCCTTGCTGAGTTTTAAACTGCTTTTGTAGATATTGGATTCTCTGAGCTGGATGATTAACCCGTATAGCCTTTTTGGACATCATCAGTACATATTTCGGAAAGTGTACTTTTGAGAGATATAAAGAATGGATACATGCTCTCGAATATACTGACCTCCAGTCTCTTCTTTGGTATAGTCATTATCCTTTTTTAGATAAATACAAAATAGTGAACGAATTCAATATTTTGACACTGTTTACTAATTTACTTTGAATTAAGGCAACTGATATTACTTAAATGAAAAAAGAAACCTTTAAATCATTAAACTCAAGACCAGTGATAAATTCGGATCTTGTTTTAATTCAAAGTATGGTAAGGCTTACGTAACTTGGTCTTGCACATGAAACGTGGCTCTAAAGAAAATATAGTATGGACTGTCAGAAAGAAACGAAACAAGCTTGTAACATTTTAGGTCCCACGACAGTTGTCTGTATTATTAGTAAATCATTTACCATGTACAGAACTGTGTACTTGGTTTCGGGCCAAAATATAAGTCTGAGGGCTCATGACACTACCCAACTGCCTTAACAGAAGTAGGTCGAACGGAATTCGAACCTGAGATTTAGTACCTGAAAGTTGGAATTCTTGACATCTAAACTATTGATTTACAAAGATTTGATGGATATGTGGTTCGAACTCACGATCCTTCAGACTGGTGCCTAAAACTAGAGCCTCAGACTGCTCGGTCACTCAATCGACGTATAATGTTGGGATAATATCCACTTCCAAGAATCAACGTTTTTTTTATTAAACAGGAAGTAAATAGTCTTTATTGATTTACATAATGGAGAGAATACTCTTTATTATGAAAACATCTGTTATAAAAAATTCCAAAAACACGAAGATTTGTTTCTAGTCATAGAAATTTAAAAATTCATGAAATTCCTAGAACATTGTTTTTCAAACCCACTTAACACCTTACTGCTTCCTTACTTCGATACATTTAGAAGAACGTTTTATCTATGAGTTCAGTAAAACTCAATCATATGACTTCAAATACATGTCGTTTAGTGTAATTCGATAATTTTCTTCATATTTTATTGTTATTCTCCGTTTTCCACGGACATCTGAATTTAGTCCATTTTTTTCTAAATACATTGACTCAAGGGAATCCATATACGATCGGCTTTTTAGTGATTATTCTCTTATCCAAAATTCCTCCAGTAGAGTCTCATTGTATCGTTAGGTAAAAAGGCTGACAAGATGCAAGATATTCAAAGTGTATCAAATGATAATTTGATGACATTAAACAACCTTTTCATCCCTAGAAAACATAGTTTCATACTTTACAATCGGTCTTCGCTAATGCCAAGTCTATGAACAAGAAGTAGAGTTATTGAGTATGTTTGGTACCTTATTTAAAAAGTTTTATTACCTCAGTTGAGTTGGTGAAAACGAATTTTAGATATCGACATCAAAAGATCATTTGGCAACTGTTCTGGGAAATTTTTAATTTCTCAAGTTGTTATGAACCAGTGACTTGAAAGAATCTATTTTTTTTACCCTCCCCTAAGTTTGGACATCTCATCACATATCTATCCATATTCTTCGTCTACCCATATCTTGTTCATCTTTTTTAATGTTTTCTTCCTCTGGTGATTTTCTTTTCTGTGCCATACAAAAATATGATCAATTGAGCCAGAGCACTTTTATGGAAGTCCCTAAGTTGTTGTATCAACCTGTTTTGCTGATACGCTATATCTAATGGTTCTAGCCAAATAGTAGTCAACTTTATTATAAGTTGCAAATAATTTTCACCTGATTCATACATTGATAAAACTTACTGATGAAAAATAGCTTTAGGTACTAGATTTCAGACCTCAGATTTTATGTAACGATTATCGATGATACCCAGATACCCAGACCTAATTAAACGAAATGGGATTTAAACTTGTAACCTAATGGTTAAAATTTGATTTCTCTAACCACCAAGTCACTATCTTACTATCAGTTCACCGTTACGTATATTCGTAATTATAGACTCAATGCTATAGTTTATACACAAAATATATTTAATAGTCTTTGTACAAATTCCTCACTAGAACCAGGACTTTAGATAGTATTCTTAAAAAAGCAAATGGGGTGAGTATTTTTTGTAAGGTATTTATAATCCTGGTTCAATTCACTATGATTTTTTATTCATATATTTGATATTACTAATCATATTTACTATTTTGGGATCATAACACTTAATTTGGCTAGTTTCTGAAGTAGACTTTCATTGGACATTTAATTAGTTTTAATATGGTTAGTTTCATTGAGCTGACAAATTATAGTTGTTTACTTCTGAATGGTTCTAAAAATATACAGGAAAATATTCAATATTCTCCGTTTTACTTTAAACCACATTCACCTACAAATAAAGAAACAAGGATATAACCCAGCCACTCAACAAAGTATTTAAGTAGTCTAATTAATGGCTAGTAAAGGTCTATCTCAAACAAAAGAAAGAAATACGCAACAGGAAAGGTTACCATGTTAAGAGTAAATATGCTTGACAAACAACATAACTTACTTTCATGAAGCACAGATTGTTTGTCTATGGTTGCTTGAGAGGTATATTCCATGCCAAGCTTATTGATTACTGAGTGAGATTCACTTTCAAGAAGGTCGTCTGTGAGTTGCTGTTGACTTTGATGTTGGTGGTGCTGTTGTGCATTAGTCATCATCAAATGTTTAGGCATCAATTTGACGGTTTCTGTTGGTGTTGGAAAGTGAATAAACAACTTTTTTTGTCGATACTGTTGTTCCTGACGACGTGGACAGGGCATATCAGTTAAACTATATTGATGTTTATCACTACATTCTATCGAATTAATTTGTGACGGTAAGTATGAAGCAATATCAGTCTGAGGAAAACAGTGATGTGACTGCTGTTGTTGCTGATGCTCAGACGATGATGATGATGATGATGAAGAACACGATGATGAATAGTTAGTTGAAGTTGAATGCTGCATGTCATGTTGTATCATGCAAGGATTAGTGGTAACCTGAGCATGATTTACAAAGTTTACGACGGGTTTTTCCACCTGTAATGATTCATAATTATGAGTCAGTGAAGCAGAAGGGGAGGATGGAAAGGCTATTGGTAGTGACAATGAAGAATTGTATATATTTGAAGGATAATTACAAACAGAAGATTTAATAAACTCTTGCATTGTGTGACTGACATCAAATGGTTCTTCAAATCCTGCTGTGTTATTTGGGTTGGTGCAGTTATTGAACATCCACAAGGAATTTTTATTCGGATAAGTTGATTTGCTATCCATATAATCATCGGACCTTTTGTTAACAACATTATCTTCATTCTTAGTTTGATTATATTTTTCCATATTTTCAGTTATACAATCCTCACGGGGACATTTTGAAGTATTATCTAGCATTAAAGAGTCTAATCTTGTAACATGATTGTTAAATGGATGTAGTGTATTAACAGTTGATAATGAAGGTAGCGGTGAATACAAAGATGGTAATATTTCAACTGATGAGTTTCTGACTAACTGATTACAGTTCGACAAAAGTTTAAGAAGATTCGGATTAGACTGATTCATGTGGTATGGATTATCAGTGTGAATGACTTGATGATAACTCGTAATATTATTATTTTCTTCAGTGCCCTTGTTATTAATTATCTCCATATCATCACATCTGCTATCACCTTCGTTTGATATAGCCAGTTGATTTGTAGGCAACTCAACAGAATTTCCCAAATTAAGTTTAGACGTAGAGAACTCATCACATTTCAGAATGGTTAGAGAAGAATTAATGGGAGACGAGATTTTAGGTCGAAGAGAATTATTATTTATATAATTCTGTTGTTCATTGTTCAAAACACTGGAGAAAGGATCTTTGGATTTTGATAAAGAAGTAAACTGAGAAAATGGGTTGAGGTTATTATCTGAAAAATTGGTTGTCGATAAATTGAGATTATAGTTTATGGCTGGAGTATCACAGTCTGCACAAACATTCATACATCGTGGTGAAGATATAGAAGGGGAATTTCGCTTGCAACAAGTACATGGATAAGGGATTTTCATATCCTGATTTGAACCACTTGAAAAGTATAACCTATTTTGCAGTTCTGAATGATAATAATTCTTGGAACTAATAGTATTTGAATCAACCATATTATATGGAGGATCCCCTTTTAAATGTTATACTTCTTATGAAATTCTGAATGATTTCATTCAAAGTATATTATGGTTGTGCCGAATAATTCACTGTACTTATTTTTATCACAAAGCAGTTACAAAATTAATTAAACTTTTAACACAAGTATCTTTGTATTTATTTTAAACGTTTTACTTTCGCTTGACCAGATTAATTGGCTTCATGTTAACAAGTAGTTCACAGCAAACTATTCAAATTAAATCTACAAATAAAAGATAAATAAAACAGAGGATATTTGAGTTAAGTGAACTATGAGAAATTATTTAAAACATAGATATACTTTCTTTTTATTCTGGACTCGTTAGAAAAAGGAGAGAGGGGCTTGATGTGAACTACTACACTTGGTAGTTGTACATGCTTTATCTACCGGATGTTGCCTATAAATCACTGGTATACGAGATAATAATCTGTATTTTAGACCGATAATAGGAATAATCATGATATCTTAAGTCACTAATAATAATAATAATAATAATAATAATAATAATAATAATAATAATAATAATAATAATAATAATAATAATAATAATAATAACTTTATAATAGATTATAAACGGTTCTTTGATTACTTCTTATTTGGTTGACTGTATATTCCGGATTCTCGTGATGACGACCTGAAGGTGATGAATGTAATCATTCCTTACAATTGGTTGTTTCTAACTCAGTTAATTCAATAACCGATTTCATAAAGAGTCGGCATCAGGTTAAGAGCAGATTATGTGTCGAATTTCGACTACAACTTACAGTGCACACTGAAGGTAAGGGTATTTAAACTTCTGATCTTACATACCTGACTAACAATTATCAATTAATGGCTTAAACGACTGGTGAATAAGGTTTATCAAGAGCTAAACTATTTAACTACTCTGACTCTAGAAATAAGATTATTTTGATTTTCGGCTTCAATATTAATGGTCGCTAATTAAAAAATAGCCTTGTATCCTATGTACTCATTCTTTCTAAATCAATTATTTGTTTCTTTTTTGTTAAATGAATTTGTGAAATAATCCAAATCTAGGAAACTAGACAACGTTGACTGATGCTTATATCATACCAATTACATTCTTACTTCTAACCTCAATTTATACACAATTTAGTCAAAATATTAAGCTTAAAATAGGTCAAAGGTACTCAAAATCACTAATGACATCAATCGTCAATTGATCCATTCTGGTATTACGTAACAGATGTATTTGACTTTTATAAATATTCAGTAATTGTCTATTATTTCTTTATTTCAAAAAAATATTAATAATGAACCAAATGTACAATAACTATTTTATTAATTAGTAAATAATGAAGGATGACTAAAAGAAAAAGTGAGTGGTGGAGAGAAGGAATATGAAGTGATTAGTACGTTAACCTCATTTAATATTTATTCGCGAAACCATTTTTGTGATACAATCCTTTCTATCCCTCTATAGACATATAGTTTCCATATAACTATATATAAGAATGTACAGCTCAAGTAAATGATTTCGTCGAAAAGAAAATTTTCTTCGCTGATTTCTCTTTCTCTTATTCAAGTGATTATATGTTGTTAAGACATACAGTTGCCCACGATTAGCAAGCTATAATTAGGATTTTGTTCTGATCTGAAATATTTGAATAATAACTACCACATCAAATAACAAACACAGTCTTTATGATCCATGGTTAAATTCAAACGAGTGACATCTATGTACTCAGTAGATTTTAGTCATGTGAAAAGTAATAAAACGCTCGTTTTAATAACCATCAATATTCTTCGATATATTAGTAACAGTCGTATTTCTAAAGGATATCGGGGAATAAAAATATTGATTTCCGATAAGAAGTCTTGAACGTCTGAAATAATTACTACTCAGTGATAACATTACTGGTCATTAACCACAGCATTCTACATTAAGGTGTATATATAGTATGACTGTCATAATACTTTATATGATAGTCAGCAGTCGAAGAAATGAAGTAACCACAGTTACTGTTACATAAATAACTTGACATTTGACCACAAAAAGTTCACTGAATCATCGCATTTTCAAAACCGTTTAACAGAAGTGTCATGTATCCTAGAAATTATATATATTATGGAAAGAGGGGAAACTGTAACGAAATTGAATATCTCTATCGAGTTCAAGTCTTATGTTATTCATAAATATTTCAACCAATATTTCACCTGAAGATATTTTGCCCCCGAGATACATTGTTTCTGTATCAGGAAAGTATGGATCATGATCAAAACTAAGTGTGTTTCTTTTTAAAATCCAATATCAATACAATGCGGCACTGTTAACTCTAAAGCATTACTCTCTCAAAATGCATCGTTCGTAGTCATGTTTAAAAATAACTTGATCAAATAAAAAACAAATATAAGGTTGATCAGATGACGCTACGTTTATTCACTTACTGACTCAAAACCCATAACATTTAATTATTTATCATCCGAATTTTGTAAAATGCTCTTTATTCAAATAGGATATACAATGAAAAGCCTAATTTTGTGAATACCACTAATCATTAAATAACTTTATCCTAATATTCGTTTGATTAGCATGTAATTTAATAACTTATTAAAATTTGTACTTGCAATAATAAGTGGAGTTGGTGGGGAAGGGGTTAACCTTTCTAACTTAATAGTTTAATAATTAAATTCATATTGACAAAAATTGATATTCAACAAGATGAAGACTTACATGAAAGCTGATTTTCATTGAAAATTTTCTATTAGGATAGTCAAAGATTTTGTTATCCCCAAGAAATACACGAGTTGATTTTCTATAAAAAATAATCCACTAACCTTTTTTTTTATTATAATGTATCTCATCAACTGATTTCTATCCAAGAAATTATGGGCATACCTATTACGAAAATTGGCCAATCAGATTTGAAAATTATCAAAAATATAGAGGTAGACATTTTCTGCTTAAATTTAAAGTATCCAATGACTATTATGAAAAAGACACACTATCAACTAATAAAATGAATACTTGTCGAATTTACGATTGGTTATTTTGTTAGCCCTGTTGGTAAATTTCTTTTAGACATTGTAATATGTATTGGAATTACATGATTTGCTTTCAGACTATCAATTTTGTGTATGAATTATTTCTCCCCCCGCCATGCTAAAGAAATGCTTGTACTCAGTAAATGTATATCAGTCAATTCTAATAATAAGGGTTTTGCTGATAAGTCACACATTAACTATGACGACAGATATTCAAAACTAAGAATTGATAGATTCTGTAACAAATCTTATTCTGAATTGTTATCGATTTAATACTCAGTAGGATTGAAACTAAAATACTGGGATGGATTTCTAGTGAATTCATGATAAATGCACTCTAACAACTTTCGGGGATTAGTTAACAAATACAGTAGATGTCAGTTCAGTAAATTGATCCTAGTTTACAGTTTAAACACCCTTATCGTTTGACGCCTTTAAACTATCATATTTTATCTCAACGGATCGAGGTTGTGTGGGCTGTGTTGATGTGTGATCGACTAGATAAATTCATGCGAATAATGTGATTAAGTAACTACTACTCATCAAAATTAAATTTTTGACAGAAAGCCTCCAATGAGAGGATATTAAAAATATAGAAATGGTTATTAAGAAGTAGCCATTTTAACTGAGCATAAAAGCATGAGATATGATTTCATAGGACTGACGCATCTAATTATCTTAACATCTATAACACTGAAAAGAAATTTGTAATGTGAAATTAACTGGGTACATGTTAGTGTAAAATACAACACTGGTCTTTCAATAACTGGACTCAATATCCAGCCTTATGAAGACAGAAATTATCAAAAATACCTTATGACTTATCCCTAATACTGAATCATATTCAATATATTGTAGAAATTCTAAAGAATTGAGTGTTTATTATGCACATACATAAATGGTTAGTTTATATAACTTCCAAAAACACTCCTACTATGAATCTTAATACCCAACTTTTCCAAGGTAAGCAAAAATAAAATTACAATAAAGATTTCACAAAATTAGCTCTCATGTCTAATGGTAATAAACAAATAAAATTGGCCGATTAAATGGTAGAGCTAAATTCGTAATTATCAGAATAGGGTTGTGGAGATTGGTGAGTTTTTAATTACAATCATGAACCGGTCGATGTTAGACCACCATTGAGGACCTGAAAGCACTGGAAGGATGTTTCGTCCCAGCACGAGACTCCTCAGCGATACGCATCCACAACTTCACACGCCGAACTCAAATCCACGACCTTCGTCGGAGCATGTGGTCTAACATCGATCGGTCCATGATTCCAAGTAAAAACTCCACAATTTCCACAACCTTATACTGATAATTATCATGTGCTCACTAGCGGCATGCTTTGAGGGATAATTCTTGATGTTCTAATGAAAATCCGCGACCAGTGGAGGTAATTGCTTGCTGAAGACAATGCAGGGTGGTTGCGCAATTTTGTGGATAGTTGAAGTTAGATATTAACATCGTTGGACGCTGGGTCGGTGGTTTGGTGGTTAAATGTTTGCGCGCGGTCGTACGTCGTGGGTCGGCACTGCTGAGGAGTTCTATACTAGGATGAAACGGCCTCTCAACGCTTTCAGGCTTTCACTGGTGGTCTAACATTGATCGGTTCGTGATTTCAGTTTAAAGTCCACAATTGTACAGTTTTATACTTATCTCATACAGAGATTAATAATAATCCATGTTATTCAAATGATATGAAGTGTGTGATAAGCTTAACTTTCAACAGTCATATAGAATTGTCATTTATTCTATATCTCTTACAACTTGTGCAATACAAAGCACAGCATAATCAATAGTGTTACTTCGTAAACAATAAACATTTAACACGTGGTTTATTAGTAGTAATTCTCGTTTAAGTTATTAGATGTAATTTAATTTGAAAATATGATACATTGTATCATATATTTATTCATTCTTGTGAATCAGAACTCAGTAAGCTAATTGATCATTTCAGACTGAATC